GTCTCAAATACGGCGGTTATGTCGCCATGTTGGAAAATGAGAAATTTCCTTGTTTGCGCGCAACCAATATTTCCCCCGAGTCTATTCAACTTCTCTCTCGTGCCTGGGAAAATATGGATTTTACTCATTATCGCGACTTTATTAATTGTCATAGGCGAGAACGCGACGGAAGCGTGACAGGACTTCGCTTCGTCCCCGTCAGCCTGGGATCACCCGAACGCGGCCCCAAAGGCGACCATGGGTTTATTCCTCCGCGACGGTCCTTCGCATTCTGATTCAGGCAGACACGTAACAGTAAATAACGTGGCGCGATCTCGAAATTCCTGCGCGCGATAGCCGTGCGTAACGAGGAGGATGCCACACGTTTCCGAGAAAGAAAATCTCTAAAACCATTATGAGGCTGCGTAAAAGCCCCGGGAGGAGCGGAGCACTCTCTCGTCTCTCTTTTCTCGCGCTCTTGCGAGTGCTCTCGGGGCACTCGAGAGGCGCGGAGTAGGCTGAAGAGGGCCGCGACTCATTGTGCAGGAGGTGTCGGTTACACCCTAATGAGGTATTACCCTGATTGTCCATTAGGGAAGGATTTCGACGACGACGGCACGCGAGTTCTTCACTCGCGACACGGATCCTCACACTTCAACGAATGCCTCCGCTGAAGGGACCTTTCGTGGACGAGCGATAATGACGGTGGAAAAGTTCGTCCGATCGCGACGATTTTCTTCGGGTCCTCTCGGACGAACGATCGGAGCCTGCTCGTCGTGTCCCTCACGTTAGATAACGATATCATTCAATTGGAAAAACAGGGCGTGTTTCCACCACTCGTGTCCTCGGAATCGTGCAATCGTCCTCGTATCGAGAAGCGGCGCGCTGTGACGCAGTCGATAGCCGACCGAGGGTAGAAATGTAACTAGTCGTTCCGAGTCCGGAAACAATTGGCTGGCTAGAACAGAGCTAGATAAAGTACAAACTAGATTGAATTTCTTACACACACAACTGGTCCGTTATTCTTTACCAAAGTGTAGAATCGGTCCCGCAATCTGGCCGTTATCTGTAGCCATTTATACGTATCAAATTTTGCACATCGAATGTGACAGAACGGGTCGTGCGTTTTCTATGCTGAAATCTACAATCCAGCTACTATTTACGCGCTGTTAGTATTTAACAATGAGACAGCGAATGAAAGTTGAGGATACGTTATTTGATAAAGTTCTTTAAAAAAGCATAGGATTCGGCCGTTATGTTACTCGCTGGATAACTAGTTGTGATTTTTCATTTTATAAATGGAATTTCTATCGTTTCATCTATTTCTATTGTTCAGCCGACTTATTTATCTAGCCATTATCTAGCCAATAGGAGAAATGCGTTACATCACCGATTAATAGAGACGTTAGACACAGATTTATTATTTCACGGCTAGAAACTCACGTGGTACAATTTCTACCGGAGCATTGGTGTGCGGTTGTACGAGGAGAAAAATAATGCGAATAGCGGATTTTACGCTGCCGTAGCGAATAAATAGGGTGTTTCTTGAATACCATCTAGTATTTTAAGAGTTAAATTTCAAGGTCATTTGACGGAGAAATGAACACACGTTCGTATCAGCTTTATAAAATGACCCGAGGAGCATAGAAGAATATCAAGAAAAGATTCCTAAAATATTGGACAATGCTTAAGAAACACTCTGTACATTAATTCACTCGCTACGACGACGTAAACTTTGCCGTGCCTCTAAATTCTTCTTCCTCATGCAGTTGTAAGTATAGCGCTGCAACTCGGTAAAATGTTGCCGAAAGATTCAATTAATAGCTAATAGGTAACTGCGGAATTTGACTGCGAAAATGAAATATTATTTATTCCCAATTATTCTTATAGCATTATCAACGGATTCGTCTGAAATATTCTTCGAGTATTGATTTCTCCTGAAGTATCGTATGTGCGCCATTTAATTGACTTAATTTACGTCGCACATTGCACATACACTACGTACTTACGTAGTACGTTGGAAGAACACGCTTCCCCCGGCGGGGATCAACCTTAGACCTCTGCCTCTTGTGAATTTGTTACGAACTACGTCAAATGCGATATGTGGTTGAATGTGTGCGTATCTGTGTGCCTATAGTTTTGCAACGGAACGCGTAACAGGCGATTCGCGGTGAATCTTCCACCGGCTAAAATCAGCGAAGCATAGGAGACGGAAGAGCTACGTGGAAGTGTTTCCCGTAAAAATCGCGGTGAATACTCACTGATTATCGGTGAAATACCGCTTAACCGATTCAATCAGCGACATTTTCACCGATTCCACTTAAGAGAGTGTACACTTTGTCGACAGCGACGAGCTCGTAGCTCCTACCGAGCGCTAATCGCCCGAGATAAGGCGGAGCGAGCAGGTCGAGCGATCGGTAATTAATAAATCGCAACTAATTCTCCCATTTAAGTCGTCGTAAATTATTCATCGCAGGCCAAGCGGACAGCGGCGTCTAATTATCGCGACTTCGAGCGAGCGCGGCACATTCGAGGCGGCGGCGGTTCTCCTTCTCGATTTATTAGCCAATTACAATCCATATATCCGCCAACGGCTCATGGAGCAAGATACGTATCTGCCGCCTGTGTGTAATCACTTTTGTACCTGTCTCCGGGAATTGCGGTTCGCTTTCACACAGTTTCTCTCCTTTCTCATTAAGCAATTACATCGGGTCTTATATCCGCGCGCCCGCGCGCGCCGCTCCGGTATTTTTCAGACGCGTCACCTCCGCGGTCACTCCCGCGTGTCACACCAGAGGCGATAGAGAACACCTCGGTGGGCCGTTTCGCTTTATAAGCGGCGCGATCGCGTGTCCTAATAGCCCAGATACGGGGAGATCGCGAGGCTGACGCCTTCCGCGCCGCGTCGGCGGACCCGCTGGACGTCGTGCTAGGCAGCACGGGTCCCGCGTGACGTTTGTGGAACGGCATCCAGAGAGTCAGCGAAACGTTAATAGTCGACGTTACAACCCTTCTGTGTGTGTCGGCAAGTCGGTGGTGAGGCAGAATTGCAACTTCACCGAGTCGAGCTACGATCAACAATCCGGCGCTTAACTCGCGTGGCTTTCGGGAGTACTCTCAGAGTGACTTTCGTCAACCTCAGATTAACCCCCTCCCTCCCCCCCATGTAACGTACGATTTAATTAAAAGTAAGTCTCTCTGCATAATTCCGGCGGTCGCGAGGAAAACCGCCCCCCTCCCCTGCATATTTCAGTTTTTGATTGGTATATTTTAACAAGATTCGGAAAATACGGAAAATAGTTCCAATTCATCATTGCACGTGTTTTCGCGTAATAAGAGACGCACGACGCATCAGCGACGTATCGTTGAAAGCCAAATGGTTAAACTAGTCGATGGCTAACAATAAGAATTGCCAACACCGATGTCCAGTTCTGTAACTTGTTCAACAGTTAATCGGAAAGTTGACCATTTTTATCCTGCGTCAGCAAGATGGAACAGGGAATAATCAAGAGATCGACGACAACTTTAAATCGTCGGTTTAGATTACTCAGTATTCGGCGAAAATCATTCTTACGTTCTCATATATCTACAATGTAAAGAGCTGAACGGTGATATTGTTTTGTGATACGAAATATGAAGCGGGCATGGGAAAAATGTGAAGAACCGAAACTCACGATGATTCAGGATTGTCTAACGAAAGAATTGATAATTATTAATGATTGATTAAAACAGCACTTAGCACTGGCGTCGTGTGTGCGCGTCATAGAAAAACGTTGCACGACAGATAACAAATAAGGTTGCGTGCAAAATTCGCCTGAGGAAAATCCATTCTAAATTTATTAGTCGGCAAGAGAGTGAAAGGAACAGCTCGGAGATTACAGCTCCCGTATGTGCATTTGCCGAAATAAAAAGTACCGTGTGTACGTGTGCGCGTGTGTGCGTCTACGGATCTCGTCTCGAAGTTCCAAGGTTACAAGGATCAAAGATCGCGGTCAACGCGCGTCCGGAATGCAAAATCGAAGCGAACGCGGTCTCAATCGTCATCGCTTTTAATCAAACTTCAAACTGCACTGATAACCGGCGCAAACGTCCAACGTTTTCTCGGCTGACAACGGCAGTAAATCCCAGCCAGTGATACGCCTCCGTCGTATCGACGTCTTTATCTTACGTCGGATTTGCCACGACGTTTCGGTTTATATCGTGTCATTAGCCCCGCCACGCCACACGTCACTATCGGATCTTTCCGCTCGGGGAAAAGTCATCGACGGAGGCAAGAAAATATCTCGTCGATCACGTGTGATTGTAATTTCAAAGTCTCTCTCTCTCTCTCTCTCTCTCAAGTTTTGAGGAGTCTAATCGCGATGTGAAGGCGAACCGGCGTACAAGCCAATTCTTCGGCACGTAAGCTCGATAATATCCGCCTACTCGCGTGACCCACGGCAGTAATACAGAGCATTATGAGCCCGCGTGTCGTGAATGTCATGCGAGTTGCATTAGGAGTTCGCGTTTTCCATTTAATCACCGACATTGTAACCCGCGCGGTTCCCTAGCAAAAAAGGCGAACGCAGTCGGGATTATCTCTCTCTATTCGCGCGCACTGCTCGGTTCTCTCTTTCTCCCCTCCCTGCCGTCTCTCTCTCTCTCCTCTCCTCTCCAGGGAGCGTCTTTAGCGAGTTTTCGAGGAGAAAATACCGTCCCCTCGGCCGGTTATTAAGATATCAAGGCATGATAAAGCGAGCTGAGTTAAGAGTGACGATAAATTCGCTTCGACGGATCATTTATATCATTCGGGTAGGAACGATAGCGCGTGTAATTTTAGCGCGAGTCGACGCGAGATATCTCGTTCGGGCAGGACGGACGAGCCGCAAGGTGGCACCGCTCATAAATCATCGGCTGGTATTGTAAGGCGAAAATACCCCGTGGGAGCCTCTCCGGGCGCGATTTGTTTAGCCTGTAACGCGATATTCCGCGGCGTCGACGGGTCGCGCGCGGCCGGGCGATGACGCTTCGTTTGATCTCACCGTTCGGGCTGGTAGGTCCGCCGTGCGGCGTGTAAAGATGTCCGTGAGGATTGTGCGGGTGCGGGGGTGGGGGTAGCCACGCGAAGCCCGCGAGGGAATGCGGAAATCCTGCGGGATTCCAGCCGGGAGCGCCGGGTGCGAGATACGGCGGGCCCTGCGACGGCCTTTGCACTCCGGGATGTATCGGTTGAGGCACTACCGGGCTGGACTTCTCCTCCTTCTCCTGGCCGGTCTCGAGCTCCCGCTCCAGCTCGCAATCCGAGTCCATGACGTTGAGATCCTCGGACTGGCCGACACTCCTGATCTCTTGGTCCTCCAGGTCGAGGTGGTCCGTCGTCCGGTCGCCCTCCAGCGAGCGGTTCGCTTCGGAGTCGCTGCGGTCGTCGAGGATCTCCCGCCTGCTCGCCGGCGACACGGACCTCGGGTTGGTGATCCTGTCGATCCTCTCGTCCTCCTCCTGTATGCGCTCGTGTTCCCGCTGCAGCATCGTCTCGCCGATCGGCGAGTTGCTCGACATACGGTGGTCGTCCCTCGGGATCTCCGGGTCTATCCTGATCGGCGAGGAGGACTTGTCGTGGCTCGCCCGGGAGAAGTCCTTCACGGTCAGCATCTCCTGCCGCTGCTCCTGCTCCAGCCTGTTCGGGTGGTGGTGATGGTGGTGATTGGCGAAGCCGGCGAGCCCGTGCGGACTCAGCCTCGCGAGCAGCTCCCTGCTCTGGAGCCTTTGCTGTTCCATCAGCAGCTCGCGATACCTGCTCTCCATCTCGAGGCTCTTCTCGGCGTCCAACCTCGCGTCGTCGTTGTCGCGCCTGCTCGCGAACGCGCCGCCGCCGATCGCACTCTTCTTCGTGCCGCTCAGCAGGGCGTCGACGCTGAAGCTGATCTTGCCGCTCCGCGGCTTCAGGTTCGATGACGCTGACGTCGGGGTCGCCATGTCGACGTCCTCGCAGAGGCGATCGCTGCCGGAACCCGTCACCACTTCCTCGCCGTTGCTCATGCCGGTCTTCGCGTCCAGCTTTCTCGGCTCTTCTCCGGCTGACTCGCGGTTTTCGTTAGAACATACTCCTCTCTCTCTCAAGCGAACACGCGGAGATCGCCCGGTCGTTGCCTCAGTTCCATGCTCGACTGTTCGCACTCATCGTCCGTTACACCGCTGCTCCTCGAACGAGACACCCGGTGAGTAGCGTTAACACCTTCGAACGGTTTCAGCTGATCACCGCCGAGGATCAGTCACGAGAGGTACGTTAGCGCGTTCACACACGTCACATCGCGATCCCTCGACGAATATCCTCCGTTCAAGAGGCTCTCCAAGCCGTCTCTCTCAGCTCAGTCGGTGCCCGTTATTCTCGGAATCCGCCGCATCGCCGCGGTACGACCCGAGCGGATTCCCCCATCAGAGGAGTGTTCCTAAGATATCAACATGACGACCGACTCTTCCTTCCTCTCGATGTTCCATAGCCTTCGCATCTCCTCCGCCGTCTCTCACTTCAGGACACCTTGTGATCCTTTCTCGCGCAGCGCTCGGTGAGTCTACCGAGCGAAGACATCCGAGCTGCGCCTCCGACGAGGTGCGCACCAGTGCGAGCGGTTACACTCGGGACCCCCGGATGAGCTTCGCGGTGACAGCCGCCGCCGCCGCCGCTGTCATAACACGTATCGAGCTGTCGGACGAGTGCGATTACTTAATCCTTGCGCCAGTCCCCCCCGTATCGCGCTAACGCAACCTCCTCTTCACGTGGCCGGCCTATCCAGATATCGGCGAAACGTCGCCTTTTCGAGAGCACGGGGCTCGGAGAGAGGTCAATCGCTGGCTGGCCGTCGCCGACCGAGTCCGTCGCGCGACGCCCGTCGGTGTCCGAGACGCCACTCCGTCCGTACGCGACGCGAAGGTGCCGAGCATCGGAACGTCGTCGTCGTTCGATACGTTCCCCGGCACGTTCCGGCTGATTCTTCCGAAATGGCCAGGTTAACCCGATGACGCGGCCGTTCGCGTTCACCAAGACGGCCTCTCCGAGACCGTGTACCCGTGAGCGCGCGACTGACGGGAGGGGATAAGGTGGCGGCAGCGTGGGCTCTTCCCGGAAAAAAGAAACGACCGTCCGCGGCGCCGAGTACAAATGTAATCGGCGTAATCTGTGTAATCTGCCGCGTGGTGACCGCCACTGCCGCGGAAACGGCACTGATTACCAGCTCGGCTGCACTCGCGGCAGAGAGCCCTGCCGAGAACCCTCCTCTTTCTCTCTTTCTCTCTCTCTCTCTCTGTCTCACTCCTTCTCTCTCTCCTCTCACCGTCAACGTCGCGGTGCCGCCAGCGAGCGCGCACCGCCCCCGCGACGCTCGCGGAACCGGTACGGTCGCCTGGGTTCGACCAATACGCGCGAACCGGCGCGCATCACGGGCGTTTCGAGAGTAGGCGTTCCTCGTGGTCGGACACGAGCCAATAGCAGCCACCGAAGTGGCATCGGAACCCCGAAGAGTCCCTTCCGGAGGTCGCCGGGCCCGCCAGATGGAGCTGGCTGCCTTCGGAGCGCCGCGAGGAGGAAGCGCGACGGTGGTGGGGAACGAGGATGGTCGATCGGACGCTGCCGGTGGTGGAGACCCGGTGGGACCGGAACGTGACGACTCCTAATTGTCTAATTCCCGGGCGCGCAATGCGCGAATTGATTGGCAATACGGGTGCACGTGGCTGTGTGCACGGACGCATGCCGGGGGAGGACGGCGTCCCTCTCACGTCTGGCCGCGATTCCGCGAGCGGTCGAGCGAGAAGCCGTCTGATCTAGAATTTATGATAGTACGACGGTGATACGCGCAAAGCTGATCATATTTAATTATCAGCGGGATTGCCGGGACACGCGACTGGAATCTTGCGACGGTTTTCGGCTGAACGCTCGGGTTCTGAGCGGGCGGCAGATGGAGGGAAGAGAGAGAGAGAGAGAGAGGGAGATAGTTCGGTCGATTTTTGGAGGCTCGCTGCATCGGAACAAAGCGCGAGTTATTTGCCCGCAAAGTGGTGGTAATTAGAATTCTAACGAGCCGGGTGGAGACAACTTTATCGGGACGTTAGCACTTTCGCAAGAAGCATTCTTTCCGATTTGCTGTCTCCTTCGAAGGAACATTCGTTCAGGATGCTCCTGTAATAGAAGGGGTGGATTGTAGCGGAACCGGCATATTGAATCTCCGGTCTGAAAGAAGGGAGCAGCGGGCGCAGGGTGAGGGTGGGGAAGCGCCTGCAACAAGCCGAGTACACACACGCGCGCGCGCACCTCTCTCGCAGGGAAAGAGATGTACATAGAAGGCGGGAGGAGGCGGAAAGAGAGAGAATTGAGTCGTCAGGCATGGGGTTTTTGCTGTTCGCCAGTCGCAAACAGCGCCGGGGAAGCCTTGGGCGATGTACGCGCGCGCCGCCATCTCGTCGTCCCTTGCTTTATGTCGCCCCCGTTCCCGAATGCAACGCGTCAGCGTAGCTTGTCGAGGGCGAATGTTGTTTCGCCAAAACCCACGGTAATAAGGTATCAGATAGTAACAGGAGCTCCCCCCGTAACCGTAACACGTAAACGGATAGATTTCTAAGCCGAACCGTTTACCGATTGAGCTGCTCCTCCCGCGAACGCGACGCATGTTAATCTTACTACCTGGGTAAGAGTGTAACGGCTGGACGGCTCGAGTCGGAAGTTAATAGGTAGTTGGTGCGGATTAGATTAAATTTTCTCTAGCTTGCTATTGGCTCGTTACTGGTCGATCGATCGTACTGAAACGTAGAATCGGTTTTGCGATTTAGCCGTTGTTTAGCCGTTACATAGCAAATACTCGTACTTAGGAGATACTCGAAACAAGAAAATTTACTTGCACGTATGCATTTTCTCCGTGTCCATCCATCCATCCGGGAAAAGTGAGCGTTACATCGTCAGCTAACAGCGACGTCAGATAAAAATGTATCACCTCGTAGCTGGCCAATGCGAATTTAAATTTCCACCAGAGTGGAGGCGGTAAAGATTTAATTCCAACGGTGCATAATTAATCACGGTGATCAGGGAATGTAAAATCCGTCTCTCGAAATCGTTGAGCGGCACCCGGTTACATCGATACAATAAGTTCAGCCTGCGATCCCACACGATCGTAACAATGTGGCTACACGGCGGAGCAGCGATAGTTTAGGATTACACTAATCCGATCGCCACCATGACGACGATAGGGACAAGTGACAGCCGGATAGTCCCGTCGGGTTCTATGCCTCGAATCGACCCGAGGAGGAATCGTCCGGGTCGTGGGGAGTCAAGCCGATTAAATGAAAATCTCGTTACAGCTGACCGGCTGAAGTTCAGACCTCCCTTCGAGTTTTCACCGGCGAGCCTGGTGTACGCCGCTGACTCTCCGCGATTTTCCCGACGACTTTTCCCGGACGGACTTTGTTACACGCGCGGGAGTGTCCGAATGTGGGGTGGAGTGGAGTCAATTAAGACTCGCCGCTGTCCCGTCGAGCTGGTTAACGTCCGTCTGATTAAAGAGAGAAAGCGGGTGTGACCGCCAAATTGGCGATCGGCGACTTAGTTCTGGCGGAACCACCGCGAAGTCTACGACGCGCGCATGAAAAGCGAAGGTGATCCGCATCTCCTGGAAAATCTCTTGGAATCTAATTAGATCCAGTCCGATTGCTCGAAATAATGATGGATTCTAGTTCGGAAGTCTACGTAGGTTCCGGTTAGTAGTGTGATGTTTCAATCGTGCGACTCCAAGTGGGAAACATTAACGGATTCTATTTGGTTACCTTCGACGTTTTCCTCAACAAAATGTTCTCTCGATTCCACTTACACTGCGATTGGACAAAATATGCAAAACGCTTAAAGTATTCATGATTGACAATTGCACGCAGATACACATGCTAATAAGCATAGTAACATTCAAAATATGACTCTGTTTGTTAACCTGCCAATCTAATATTCGGTCCAAGTGTTACTCGACTTTGGCAATGACAATCGCGCGCGACACGAAGCAGGCCGCGATGAACAGCCAATCAACATCGCGTAAGAGACGCTTGACCTCACTGTTTGGGACAAGAATGGATTTCCTGATTAGCATTATACCTGAACAACTTATTTCGAGACAACTTTGAGTATTCTAACCGGAATATACGGTGTATTTGCGAAAAGAATGGGACATTTCCACGCAGGAAGCGAATGATTTGCAGGCTTGATACGCTGTTAAGTCGACGACACGGTATCCGTCAGTAATGGGTGGAACAACATAAGAGGGCTAAAGTCGCCCAGGAATAACTCTTAAGAACCATTTCTACCAGATCTCTCTTCGGACCTTCGTACGCTTACAATGTGTACAATAGTTCACGACCGAATCTCGAACAAGAAATTCTTTGAATTTATGCAAAATCACGCGCGCGCGCGCGTGACGGATGGATGAAAATCCAAAAGAAGCTAATTAGACATCGCGCTACGATAAATTATTGCCGTAACGTAACAATCAACCTTTGTCGGCTTCTGCCCCTCCCCTCCCCTCTCTCTCTCTCTTTCTCCTTTCTCCGCCTCCTCTCTCTCTGTCTCTTTTGTAAAGTACCAGCAACCGTGACGAGCAAAATGCACAAGTGTTTGCGCGCGCGCACACGCAAATCTCTACGAGGAGGGGATGCCCCGAGAACGTTTCCCCGCGATTTGCACATTAACGGAGAATAAACGACACCGAAATACAGCGCGCGCGGACGCGCGCACGATCGCCATAATAGGAGCACCGAGTAGTCTATTAAGCGTCCTCAAAACCAGTTAGTGAGTCGGCAATCCAGTTTAGGTACAAAATGGCTGTCGTTTAGCGAGGATTAATGGTCTCGGGAGTGCCCCGGGGCAGCATAATGGGGCAGATGCGTTCTGGATGAGGGGGAACAACCCTCTCTGATCTCTCTCCTCCCCGCCATTTATATCTCGACAACCTCCGCGCGCCACCCTACTCTCTTTCTCTCTCTCTCTCTCTCCTCGTGCCTCTCTTACCCCTCACCTCTCTCTCTCTCTCGCCTCGTGGCCTCGTTATGTACACCTATCTGAGCTACAGACTCCATTATGCCCTTTTTGCGACGCTCCATGTACGCCGGAGTATAAATACGCAGTATCTGCGCAGTGCGTGTATCGTCCCGGTGTACCTCGAAATCACGGCCCCGAGACGTGTTCCACGAACGCAATGCCAAATTACGGCTCAGATTTCTCGCGGGGGTCTTCTTCTCGGGGGTTGAAGCACCGAAGGTTGAGGCACCGACGGCTCGGCCGCTCCCCAAATTACCTCGCACGGTTTCTAACCGTGAATAAAAAACTGCCGTTTTCCGTCTCTACCCTCTATTTCTTCAGAGTGCTGCCTCGTCTTTACATACTTCGGCTTCGGTTTTCTCACGAAGGCATCCCTTAAAAGGTAAAGTCCTCGCAGATTTCTTGGGAATTAATCGCGATCCAGTCTGGAATCCCAAAATAATTATGGATTCTAGTTGGTAGATCTACGTAGGTTCTCCGATTATGAGCGTAATGTCTGAAACATGCGATTCTAAGTGGGGAACATCGACAGATCCTGGTTTAATCGCCTCCAACGTTTTCCTGAAAATGTTGTCTGATCTCCGTTTTATATTACGAGTGAAGAAAATATATGAAACACTTTAAGTATTCATATTTTATAAGTTCACACACACACACACACACACGTTACGTGCACTCTATTAAGCATAGTGACATTAAAAGTATAACCCCGTTTATTAACCTTCTAGGTTGATATTCGGTCAAACTGTCACTCAACTCTGGCAATGGCAATAATCGCACATTTGGGACAAGAATGAAATTTTTAATTGATACAGTGGGATACTCTATTTTGGGACAATTATGGACATTCTAATCAGAGTCCACGCTGAGAAAATCATGAGAAAATCATGAAAAGTTTCTATGCGGAAGCCACCACGATGCGCGAGTGGTTGAGCGCGCCTCATTAGGGGTTAATTCGCGACCGCTGCGCCATGTTTTCTCCCGATGCTTCATCGGACGCTCTTCGTCACGCACATTTCTCGTAATCGGGTTTTCGTACGAATTTACTCAGCTTATGAGCAGCGGCGCGACGCGCTTCAATTGTACGCGCGCGCGGGTATCACACACACACACCGAGAAAAGCCCGAGC